CCGACCCATCAAAGAGAAGGAGCTCTTCGAGGCATACAAAGAGTCTGAGGGGTTCGAACTCGGCCTAACGCGGACGGGGCGGGTGTCCTTTGAATATGGATACCGGATCGCCACGTCCCGCTTCCGCGTTCGTCACCCCGGCCTCGAGGTGGAAGAGGATCCTTTTACTTCCCACCCAGAGGACTTGGAGGTTGACATGCCCGAGGACGACCCCTTCGACGACCGCCTGGACGCCTCATTGTAATAAGGACGGGTCCTGTATTTTCTGTTTTCTAGGGTGTTAGTCAATTTTGTAAATCGGAGTCGAGTCCTGTAAGTCGGTTTTGCCTTGAATAAAAGAAAACTGTTACTTCTCTTGTGTATTTGCTCGTCTTTTTCTTTCGTTAGGCGAAAAGTTTCTTCCTCCTCGAAAAACTCTAAGGCTCTGGTCGTTCCATTTCAACGAAAAACAAGGAAGAACTTTTCTTGTCGTGGCTTGCCCGACTTCTTCCTCAAAGCCCTGAGGAAACCTCTTCCCCTAGACGAAGAAACTTCTCATTCAAACGAAAAATTTCTTAAGGTTCTAGACGTTCCATGTTCTCGGCAAAGGAGAACCGTTTACTGTCGCGAGCCGGTACGTACCCGGTCGGACTATCTCGATAACCCGATAAGGCCCCTCTCATTTGGCGGCCAGCTTCCCCCTTGCCCGGGTCGGGTTGCTGACCTCGGCCCTTCGCAGGACCAGGTCGTCTAAGTTAATCGGTCGGGGTCGTACCTTTTTGTTATAGACCCTTGCGACGACTCTCTGGTAAAAGAGGGCCTTCAGGTGTGCGTCGGCCCGTCGCTCTTCGAGCACGTCGAGGCTGGCACAAAGTCCCTCGTTCGAGACTTCCTCGTCATAGCTCCTTGTCCAAAGGGTGGCAATAGCCACCTCGGGCGGCAAGACCGATTCGGTTCCGAACGTCAAGCTCTACGGGGACTCTCCAGTCGCGGTCTTGTGAGTGGTGCGCAGTGACAATATGACGCTAGGGAGCTCGTCAGTCCAAGATGGGGCTGGGCCACCGAGCTGAACCTTAGCTGGATGTTATGACTAACACAGAACTCCCGGAACCTTATACCGGGGAACTGAGGTCCGTTATCCGTAATAATGGTTTTGGGCAACCCGAACCGAGTTACTAGGTTTCTCCACACGAACTTCTCCATTTGATGTTCCGTGATTGTTGCCAACGGCTCGGCCTCGACCCACTTTGTGAAATAATCCACTCCCACGGTGATGTACTTCCGCTGCCCCAAAGCCGGTGGGAAAGGTCCAAGCAGGTCCAAACCCCACTGCACGAACGGCCACGCGCAATCGATGGGGCTGAACAGGACCGCAGGCTGTCGGGTTGAGCGGGCGTGTTCTTGGCATGAACCGCACCGCTGTATGTAAGCTTTCGCGTCCCGGCACATGGTTGGCCAGTAGTAACCTTGGCGGAGTATTTTGTGTGCCAAGGTTCGCCCGCCGATGTGTTCTTCACAGACTCTCTCGTGGATCTCGGCCAAGACCATCTGGGCTTCGTCGGGCTCCAAGCATCGTAGGAGGGGGTAGGTGAAGGACCGCCTATAAAGCCGCCCACTCTCCTCGGTGTACCATGCGTGTGTACGACGCAGGCGCCGAGCAGCAACTTTGTCGTGCGGAAGGGTCCCCTCTCGCTTGAAGTGTAGCAGCTCTTGTACCCATGTGATCGGCGCGCTGCTAGGGGCCGTAGCCGCTACCTCGACGGCGCGGGCAGGAAGCTCCTCGACCTCCGGCCATGCTTCTGGGGTCGGCTTTGACGCCAGCTTAGCTAGCGCGTCGGCTCGCTCGTTCGCCTCTCTCGGAACATTAGATAGCGTAAAATAAGGAAAATTGGCAGTCAAGTCCCTTACCCGTGCCAGGTATTTCGCCATGGTTGGGTCCCGAGCTTCGTATCTACCGTTGAGCTGCTCGGCCACAAGCTGCGAGTCGGTGAGGACGTGTATAGCAACCACTTGCATCTCGAGGGCCAATCTGAGTCCTGCTAGAAGTGCCTCATACTCCGCTTCGTTGTTAGTGGCTTTAAACCCGAAGCGGAGAGAACGCTCGAACGAGCGTTTCGGGGGCGAGCAGAACCAGCCCCGCGCCAGCACCCTTTGAGCTGGCCGAGTCGTCCACGTGTAGGAGCCAAGCTTCGGGAGGTTGCTCGAGATCCCTGTCTTCCATCTGAGTTAACTCTGCGATTAAGTCGGCTACCGCCTGGGCCTTGATGGCGGTCCTTTGCACGTATCTTATATCATGTTCACCGAGCTCCACCGCCCATTTGAGGTGCCGCCCTGCAACATCAAATTCAGATAAGACCTGTCGAAGAGGTTGGTCGGTGATGACCTCCACCAGGTGGGCCTGGAAGTAGTGGCGCAACTTCCGAGCTGACAACACCAGGGCGAGTGCGAGTTTTTCTATTGGCGGGTAACGCCCCTCGGGTCCGCTCAGGACATGGCTGACGTAGTAGATCGAAAGTTGTTCGCCGGAGCTTTCTTTGATCAGGATTGAACTGACCGCATGTGGGGAGGCCGCTAGGTAGAGGCCTAGCTTCTCCCCGGGAGAAACAGAGGCAAGTCTAGGGAGGCTGGCCAGGTGCTGCTTTGTTTGCTTGAAAGCTTCCTCGCACTCCGTCGTCCATTAGAAGTTTTTCGGGTTTTTGAGCGCTCTGAAGAAGGGGAGGCAGCGATCGCCTGACCGGGCGAGGAAGCGAGAGAGGGCGACAAGCCTTCCGTTAAGTTGCTGCAGGTCTTTGATCGTCCGGGGTGATTGCATGTCGATGATTGCCTGAACCTTCTCCGGGTTGGCGTCAATTCCTCTTTCGTGTATGATGAACCCGAGGAATTTCCCGGAGGTGACAACGAAGGCATATTTTGTGCGGTTAAGTCGCATGCCGAACTTGCGTAGTGTGGCGAACGCCTCGATCAGGTCCGGCATCTTGGCTTTTCACAATCATGTCGTCCACGTAAACTTCCATGTTCCTTCCGATCTGATGGGCGAACATCTTATTCACCATTCTCTGCAATGTGGCCCCGGCGTTTTTCAACATGAACGGCATGACCTAATAGAACTACACCCCTTGATCTGAGAGGAAGGCCGTATGCTCTCTGTCTTCGAGCGCCATCCTGATCTGGTTGTATCCCGAATAGGCGTCCATAAAAGAGAGTCGTGCATGTCAGACCGTTGCGTCGACCAGCTGGTCGATCTTCGGGAGGGGGTAGTAGTCTTTCGGGAATGCTTTGTTGAGACTGGTGTAGTCAACGCACATCCTCCAGCTTCGATTGTGTTTTTTCACGAGGACTACATTGGATAGCCATTGTGGATATCTGGCTTCTTCTATGAAGCTTGCCGCTAAAAGTCGGCCCACCTCTTCTCGTATGGCACGTTGCCGGTCAGCGGCCTGCCGCTTGTGTTTTTGCTTCACCGGGCGAGCGTCGGGTGGGATGTCGAGATGGTGCTGTGCGACCCCTGGATCGACACCCGCCATATCAGATGTGGACCAGGCGAAAATGTCGGCATTTTCCCGCAGGAGACCGACGAGCTGCTCTCGTTCCCTTTCGGGTAGTTTCGAACCAACCTTGACCGTCTAGTCTGGCCGAGTTTCTTGTGTGGTATATCAACGGTGGATCCCCTCGGCTCGGGGTGAGGGGCCGGTTTTTTTGTTTCCCACGGATCTTCCAGTGGTGGCTCGATCCTGGCCCTCTTGTGTAACGAAACGACGGTTAGGTTGCACCGCCTGGACTCGCGGGGGCTTCCCGTAACTTCCACGACCCCAGCGTGAGTCGGGAACTTGATGGTTTGGTAGTAGGTCGAGACGACGGCTCTGACTTTGTTAAGGGTCGACCGACCGAGTATGGCGTTGTAAGCAGTGGGAATGTCGACCACCAGAAAAGTGGTCATCACCGTCTTCGACCTCGGTGGGATCCGTAAGGTCAAGGGCAGAGTAATAGCCCCCAGGGGTGATATCGAATCTCCTATAAACCGGGTGAGCGCTGAGCACATCGGCCTCATATTCTCCCTAGCCAAGCCAAGTTTCAGGAAGGCGTCGAAGTAAAGTATATCGGTCGAGCTCTCAGTGTCAACCATGATCCTTCTCACCTGCGCGTTGGCTACCCTAGCCGATATCACAAGGGCGTCGTCGTGTTCGGGTCGCTCGGACACCCCTGTCGGGAAAGTGATCTCGGGCTCGGGCCCGTGTCTAGGGGTTACGTCTGGAGTGGCTCGGGCGTACGCCTTTCTTCCCAACATGGACGTCTTCCAGTCAGGGGCCTCGTTCCCTTTCGGGTAGTTCTGAACCAACCTTAACCGTCTGGTCTGGCTGAGTTTCTTGTAGTGGTATATCAACGGTGGATCCCCTCGGCTCGGGGTGAGGGGTCGGTTTTTTTGTTTCCCGCGGATCTTCCAGTGGTGGCTCGATCATGGCACTCTTGTGTAACGAAACAGCGGTCAGGTAGCACCGCCTAGACTCTTAGGGGCTTCCCGTAACTTCCACGACCCTAGCGTGAGTCGGGAACTTGATGGTTTGGTAGTAGGTCGAGACGACGGCTCTGACTTTGTTGAGGGTCGACCGATCGAGTATGGCGTTGTAAGCAGTGGGAAGGTCGACCACCAGAAAAGTGGCCATCACCGTCTTCGAACTCGGTGGGGTCCCTAAGGTCAAGGGCAGAGTAATAGCCCCCAGGGGTGATATTGAATCTCCTGTGAACCTTGTGAGCGCTGAGCACATCGGCCTCATATTCTCCCTAGCCAAGCTGAGCTTCTGGAAGGCGTCGAAGCAAAGTATATCGGCCGAGCTCTCAGTGTCAACCATGATCTTTCTCACCTGCGCGTTGGCTACCCTAGCCGATATCATAAGGGCGTCGTCGTGTTCGGGTCGCTCGGACACCCCGGTCGGGAAAGTGATCTCGGGCTTGGGCCCGTGTCCAGGGGTTACGTCTGGAGTGGCTCGGGCGTACGCCTTTCTTCCAACATGGACGCCTTCCGGTCAGGGGCCTCTTTCCCTTTCGGGTAGTTCCGAACCAACCTTGACCGTCTGGTCTGGCCGAGTTTCTTGTAGTGGTATATCAACGGTGGATCCCCTCGGCTCGGGGTGAGGGGCCGGTTTTTTTGTTTCCCGCGGATCTTCCAATGGTGGCTCGATCCTGGCCCTCTTGTGTAACGAAACGGTGGTCAGGTAGCACCGACTGGACTCTCGGGGGCTTCCCGTAACTTCCACGACCCCAGCGTGAGTCGGGAACTTGATGGTTTGGTAGTAGATCGAGACGACGGCTCTGACTTTGTTGAGGGTCGACCGACCGAGTATGGCGTTGTAAGCAGTGGGAAGGTCGACCACCAGAAAAGTGGTCATCACCGTCTTCAACCTCGGTGGGGTCCCTAAGGTCAAGGGCAGAGTAATAGCCCCCAAGGGTGATATCGAATCTCTTGTGAACCCGGTGAGCGCTGAGCACATCGACCTCATATTCTCCCTAGCCAAGCCGAGCTTTTGGAAGGCATCGAAGTAAAGTATATCGACCGAGCTCTCAGTGTCAACCATGATCTTTCTCACCTGCGCGTTGGCTACCCTAGCCGATATCACAAGGGCGTCATCGTGTTCGGGTCGCTCGGACACCCCGGTCGGGAAAGTGATCTCGTGCTCGGGCCCGTGTCCAGGGGTTACGTCTGGAGTGGCTCGGGCGTACGCCTTTCTTCCCAACATGGAGCCCCCCCCCGATGCGGGACCGCCAGCGATTACTTCAATGTGTCGCTCGATGGGGCCCTCCGGGCGAGGTGATAGCTTTTTGTCCGGCAGAAGGTATTTGCCGAGATGCCCTCTGCGGATGAGCTCCTCAATTTGCCTTTTCAGTTCACGGCACTCTTCAGTGTCGTGTCCATGTTGCCGATGGAAGCGGCAATATTTTGAACGGTCTGCAAGCTCTCGCGGGTTCTTCATCGGGTGAGGATCCTTGAGTAGCCCCTTCCCCTTCTCATGGAGAAATATTTCTGTTCGGGACGAACTCAAGGCGGGGAGAGGAGGCCTTGGGTCGAATCTGTCCAACTTACGCCGAGACACGGCGGGTTGTTGCTGCAGGGCAGCTTCGACTTGACCTTTTTGTGCTCCTCCCGCTTCCCAGCCATCCATGTCTCCGCGGCGATGAACTGACTAGCACGCTGAAGCATTTCGGGGACCGCAGCGGGGGGCCGCTCCACGAGAGATTAGAAGAACCTGGAAGGCCGCAGGCCTGTCATGAATGCCTGCATCAACAGAGAGGGGTGAGCATCCGACAGCCCGTAAATTTATGTCGTAAAGCGGTTCACAAAATGGGAGAGGGGCTCGTCCTCCCTTTGGTTGAGTCCGAGGAGCAACGCCATGGACGGCTTTGGTCGCACGTAAGCCAGGAAGTTAAGCTCGAAATCTTTGGCGAGTTGGTCGAAGGAGGCGACGGTCCCGGCCTTCAGGCCACTGTACCACGCGCGGGCTGGCCCCCGCTGGGTTGTTGGGAATGCCCTGCACATCAAGGCATCAGAAGTCCCGTATAGCGCCATTTAGGTGCGAAAAATGGCCACATGGTCCGCTGGGTCAGCGGCACCGTCATATGCATCCAGCGAGGAGAGGTGGAAGTGTGACGGGATCGCCTGATCTTGTATCTCGGGGGTGAACGGGGATCCTTGCTGTCCGTCTACCCCGAGCTCTCCTTTTGACTTACGAACTTCCTATTGTACTTCGTCGAGTCTTTGACTGACGAGGCGCAACTGAGCTCGTAGGGCATTTGTTGAGTCGGCAGATGGAGCCTCAGGCTCGGGGCGGCTCGCCGTGTCTTCTGCTTCCCGGCTCTCGCGGGTCGAGTTATCGGGTTTTGGGGCGAGCCAGGGAGCTCGGGAAGTGGTACGTGAGTCCGGACGAGGGTCTCCTGTTGCTGCGAAGGCCGGGTCGCACGCGGAGGGGTCCGTTGGGAGACGATCGGGATGATCGTCTGCACCATGCTCGTCAGAGCTCGGACTTGATGAGCGAGGTCGTGAAAGGCCTCGGGTGACACCGGCGATGGGCCGACGGGTGCGCCGTCGGGAGATGACAAGCCTGGGTCATTGAACAATTGCCAGTAACGCTCTGACGCTGCTGCGGGGCGTTCGTCACGGGGTTCATCATGCGGGGGGGGGTGTTCCCCCGGGGTGGGGAGCCCGGCGGCTGAGGGCTCGCCAAAGTGGATTCGCTGATCGCTTGACATTCGGACGAGCCCTCCTTCTAGCGCCAAAATGTTGTGGTAAGTAACTTTTTTAGCCGTGACCTCGGGGTCGACGCGGCTGGTTCAGGGGTCCGAATGGCGGGGATCAGGCGTAGCTCCCCTCGGGATCTTGTGGCGGCCGATTGCGGGGGGTCTAGCTGGAAAGTTCCACGACGTCGGGTAGGATCAGCTTCGGTCGAGTACCTGCACACAGGTCGGGTCGACGGCTCGGCCCAACCCCTCCGATGATTAAGTGAGTGATTGGGAGTGGAGTTTTGGGTGAAGTTGTGCTTTTTCTCTCTCTCTCTCTGTCCCCCTCTTTGTTGGGAGCCCGGGGGTATTTATAGGTGAGTTTGATGTTACCTGATGTGTCATCCTGCCGGAGCAGGACCGTACCTCTGATGGCGTCTGTCGTCGTTATGGGCGTTTCGTGGAAGGCCGAGCTGCCGCAGGGTATGGCGAGCTTCAGTCGACGCCTTCCCCTGCCTCGGCCGGTCGTGCGGGGTTAGACGATGAGGTCGTCTGGGTACGGAGGGTGTGGGTGCACATTATGTTGGTGTTAATGCTCGCTCCCTAGGGCAGTGTGCCGTCCAGGGGTGGCTGATGTCGTGGTGTATTGCGTCAAATCTGGTGTGTTACGCCGAATCTGTTTTTACCCCTATCAGTGATGATATTTCTATCTACCTTATGAATAATCCTTGATTTCACATGTTTAGTTCAAGTGTATAATAATTATAGGTTATTTATCTCTAACATCGTTTACTTGGTTGTGAGTTTAATCTTGACTTATAATAAAACTAAATTACCTAATAACAATATACTGGATTTAATGGTTAAACTAAATTCTCTTAATCCAATTTTGCCGTCCCGTAGAAGACCGACACTATAGAGTACCGGCCACCTTTAATAATACTGACAACAATAATATAAGAAATAAGAATTAGGCTTTAATGAAACGGCGGCGACGAAAGGACGCGAACTGGCATCCTCATTCTTCTCTCTTAACCCAATCCGACGCAACCTAACAGATCGGAAACACAGGAAGGCAGATAGAAGCCAGCAGCAAGGAGACGTTGTGGAAGAGGGTATGCGTCGACCACGCCGGGCGATCCGTTCTCTGGAAGCCACAAGCTTCCGAGGCTGTCCCCGCCCTCCGCTGCCGCCTCCTTCTCGCTGCTGCATATAACCGCAACTCCTCTCTACTCTTCCGTGTCCGGTAGGTTTCCCTTTTCCCCCATCCGATCTCTTCTTTCCCTTAGGGTTTCTGCGAACTTCCAAGCTAATTCTTCGTTTGGCGGTTGGTTTCTTTTCACCCCTCTGGCCTCAGGTGATGGATCGTTGAAGAAGAGGGTGGTGGATGTGATGCCGATCGCCACTGGACTCGAGCGCGAGGAGCTCGAGGTTGGGATTTTTAGTTGTCCGTGTTATTGTTTGATAGAATCTCTCTCTCTCTCTCTCTCCAAAAGAGGGTTCAGCATGCGCTGACCTTGTATACTATTGACTGATTTGATTCAGGGGAAGAATCGTTTCGATATGGATGCTCCGGCGGGTCCTTTTGGCACTAAGGTCAGCAGTCCTAATTCTGAAATGCCGATTTTGTGATTACAATATCGAACATTAGGTGCATTATGGAGTTGTAAGGTTGGTAAAAAGTGTCCTAGGAGTTCTTTGAGATGTAATTTTCTAGGATGTTAGGCTTACACTTGTAGATTTACATGGTCGGTTTGAAAATAAGGCTTAACATACATATATGATACGGTCAGGCTGTAGATTGAGTAAAAACTAGTATAAATTCGAACAGGTTTGCCATTGATGTCCAGGAGGACCTTCTATACATAGGGAATCAATTTGTGTGATCTTTCAGAAGAAAAATAGACACATTGTATGATCGCTTTGACTAATTCATTTTCCTTTTCTCCTCACATTTCTCTTTCCTTTGTCCAGGACATTAATTACCTCTATCAAACTATCGGCACTTCCTTTTGTTACATCTCTAGAAACGTCAACAAGACAACACATGTCTTGGCTAATCTTGCCAGAACTAGATCTTCTAGCTTTAGTTGGGGCTGTGATTTCCCCGCCAATTTTTGTATTGATCCTGATATATACTTTTATTTGCTTATACTGGTTTGATTTTGTCTTCCCTTAAAAAAAGTAAATAAATTATCAACTAAGTCTAATTTAGCCCCAGCTGCTGAAAATTAGGTGAAGATTTAGCCAATTCTGTATTTTGAAACATTGTAATGTCATTAACTTTCCTGAAGTGAAAAATGTTAATTTCACTTATTAGAAAGAAAGCAATACATTGAAGCTTCTATTTTTGTTCAAAGATTATAATTCAAAATCTAAAGCATTTTAATTATTCAAACAGAAATTAGTAATTGGGACAACAGATATATTTCAAACGTAATAGTTCTTCATTGTAAACTATAATTTCAGTGATAATCATACACAAAATTGTTCTACATTGTTTACTTAGTGAAGACTACATTGTTTTCTCAAAATAATAAAGCATTTTTGTTGGATTTTAAAGTTCAATTAACATCATAATTAATATTTTGAAATGGTAGTTTCATTTTGGTTGCATACCGTAATTTGCTGATGTAGAGCCAAAAAATCTGTTATCACATGCCGGTCTCAAGTGTTCAAGGTTAGATATCAATTGTCATCTGGAGGCTGCATTGAGAACATTTGGTGAAGAATAACATAAAATACCAAGAATGAGAACATTGAGAATGAAAACTAGTTATTTGTCAAAGTAGCTGATTTATTCAGGTTTGAAGTATTAGGATTATGGATCTTACTCTGTACATGAGTGCAAAACTCATGGTTCTTTTCTGCGTTGTGCTTGTGTTTCTTGGGTGAGGAGAAAGGGTTGGAGATGCAAAATGTTCCTTTGGTGGTGTTTGGCCTTTTTATATATCAAACGTATTAGTTCTTTTTATCAGGTTGTGATCTCCATATATGTTATATTCTGGCAGAAGGTGACATTCTCATTACGAGTGGTTGGTCCTTGAACCACCTCTTATGGCCTCTTCAGATATATTGGGAGGCCCCACCTTGGCTGGCCTTAGACGAAGGCATGTTGTATGAATTTTCTATTTTCTAGTTATGTTTGTCCATTATTATTTTCATATTGATTGTAGAGCTATACTTTGGACAAATATTAGATTTAAGAAGTCATTAAGCCATTAATACTGTGGTTTAGAGAGTTCTCTATCTGTCTTTGAATAAGATCTTGTTAAGCCCTGGTACTATCAAACTCCTGGCATACCAAGTAAATTCCACCCTGCATAAACCACTACTTTAAAAGTCCATTTTACAATAATTGCATATCATTTTTAATTCATAAACCTCAAGAAATGAAAATTACAAAAATCAACTAGCTACCAAGCAAACCATCCAGTTGCTCATTCATATATAGCTCCATTCCACATCCCAACTCAGGTCTCTTATAAATCCTTAACCATAGATGAAAACAATGTAATGAGTACAAATGCCCAGTAGGGAAAGGGACGAAATCAATGATAAGCCAATAACAATATGTTTGATACATCAATATTATTCTTAGAAATTAATTATATGCTATAGGAGATGATCAATATACAAGTGATGCATATCATGTAATAGTACCAAATAATATCATCATAGTCATATAGTCATGTATTATTAGATATATACATCATCAATGGCATGCACTCTTCCAACAACAACAGATGGAGAGGAATTATATTCGATAGCTGACGCAGTGATGTTTCACTCCTGAGCCAGAGATTGGACAACTGTCACAACTCGACGATTCGCTAGCAGCCACTACATTGGCCTTCATCAGATCATATATGTCATCGGCTCATCATGCAACAACATCTAGTACACTAATTATTATAGTCTGCTTGTCTTATCACATCATAAATTTCCTTTTTGTCTATTTGTAGGAAGCACCTGCTGTTAATTAGTCCTACGATAACAAGAGAATAATTGGCTGTCCTGGTGGTGAAGGTGGGTAACTTGTTAGGAGCAAGATTAACTACTACCCACTGTTACCCTTTTTACTTTTCCTGCTGTCTGATCCTCGACTCCTCTTTCCTACGATGAATTAACAATAAGTCTGCTTGACTAGTCTGGCTTCTGTGAAAGAACATGATGTTCATGTCTATTCATAAGTTTCTGTTATTGCTTTTGCAGAAGATGAGCATGATGTAGTATCGTTTTGGCTCGAGAAGGACAAGCCACATGAATGCCCTGTGTGCTCTCAGTACTTTTGTGGTAAATATGTTCCTCTCAAGAACATTTGAAATTAAGTTCAGAGGCTTTGGGATTGTTTTTAAACTTCATTTTACACTCTTGCTGCAGCTGGAGGTGATAGATAGGTGGAGGAGGGGACCCAGATGGCCATGATGATGATCACTAGGAGGTTGGAGCTGACTTCCTAAAAGAATAAAAACGATGAGATTTAGTTTGAAATACATTTGTAGCTACAATCAACTTTTAGGTGGTTGTTCTACTCGATTTTCTTCAGAAAAAGAATGCTATGATGTTGCCTGCCATCGAGATTTACATGGCCCGATGATTGTTTATTTGAACATTTAGAATATTAATGTTTTCAGCTCATCGATAATAATAGATGGTCACTTTTTACTGTTTTTTCATTCTCAATCAAATCAAATCGATGTAGATCCATTTTTGTCAGTCCATGCTATATTTTCATGAGCATCGATACTGTTTAATAAACTAAAACCCAGCGCTCCAACCGTTACCTTTTATCTCGATTCCCCATCTTATAGGCATAAAGCAACTGTGTGTGAAAAGCATACTGGAATGCTAAGAAAGTCACCTCCCACAGTGACGCTACTGCTAAGGGAATCCCCAATTCTCCCCCGCCTCCTCCTCTCCACCCATCTCATCTTCTTGCCATGGGCGTGAGCAACAACATCACGGCCGTGCTCAACTTCGTGGGCCTGCTGTGCTCCGTGCCCGTGATCGGCGCCGGCATCTGGCTCGCCTCCAAGCAGGACAACGAGTGCGTCCGCCTCGCCCGGTGGCCCGTCATCATCCTCGGCGTGCTCCTCCTCCTCGTTTCCCTCGCCGGCTTCGTGGGCGCCTACTGGGACAAGCAGGGCTTGCTCGCTGCCTACCTCTTCTGTATGGCCGCCCTCATCGTCCTCCTCCTCATCTTCCTCGTCTTCGCATTCGCCGTCACCCGCCCCGACGGCTCCTATCCCGTCCCTGGTCGCGCCTACCACGAGTACCGCCTCGCCGGCTTCTCCGCCTGGCTCCGCCACTACATCACCGACCACTGGATTCAGATTCGCGCCTGCCTGAGCTCCTCCGACGTCTGCCAGAAGCTCGGCCGAGATCAGCCCTACCTCACCGCCGATCAGTTCTTCCAGACGGATCTCTCGCCTCTCCAGGCCAGTACTACTCCCTTCATATTTATCCCTTTCCATACTAGTCAAGGCACTAGTCTTCTTCTCGTCAGTAGATTCACCAAACTGAACACTTTTGTTTCTTGTGTTTGGCCAGTGCTAGCTCGTTAGCTTGCACATGGGTAGGCTTTCTAGAGACTGAATTATTATAACCGAGCATTATTATTTTCCGACCAACACATATGTATATAGATTGGGCTCTGAATTGCTCTTTCAGTCTCACTTCAAGTTGGATAGTTGGAGTCGGAATCGGACGATTAGACTTGCACAAGCAATGTATGTCGGTTACATTTATGAATTAAAGATGCTTGCAAGAATGCCAGAACGATTTCAATCGCCTGTCACCTAACATTTCGACATCAAGCATTCGACTGAGGTCTTTGCCATCACTATCGTGATGTGCCAGTAGTACTCCACGTTAAGATCATTCTACAGTTCTTTACGCCTACTTCTTATTACGTTTGGGATCCAAATTTTTAAGCGCAGTCAGGATGCTGCAAACCACCGACGGTCTGTGGCTATGGGTACGTGAACCCGACACTGTGGATCAACCCGAGTAACCCCATGGCGGACGTGGACTGCGCCCTCTGGAGCAACGACCAGAGCCAGCTCTGCTACAACTGCAACTCCTGCAAGGCGGGGCTGCTGGGCAACCTGCGCAATGAGTGGCGCAAGGCCAACGTCGCGCTCATCATTGCCGCCGTCGTCCTCATCTGGATCTACATCATCGGCTGCTGCGCCTTCAAGAATGCCCAGACCGAGGACCTCTTCCGCCGCTACAAGCGAGGTTATACTTGATGTCTTCCTGCGTTTCTCGTGGCTGTCTCTGCCGGCAACTACAGTATCTTCGACTTCCATCTTCTGCTTCAGCTTGTGTGCTAAATTTTCATTTCAATTGGTCTATAGTAGTGGCGATGTACTACCGGTAGACGGGGGAAATCAGAAGAGCAGGACAAACGTTGTGTGGGCTCTGTTGTATCGTTTCGTTCCCACCCACATAAAGCAGAGTTGTGCATTTAACTTTGGTAGTGAAAATAAAATCTTGTGTCATACACGCCAACCCATGTCTCGCCCGTCTCCCATATGCTGTCTAGCCTTGGAAGCTGCTTCCCGCACCACCTCCGCCCGATCACCCCGCTGCGGTCGCATGTCTTCCTTCTCTCCTGTTCCTCTGGCGGCGACCCTTCCTCCTCGTCGTCCTTCGATGCCCTCTTTCGACGATGCTCCAATCCTCTTCAAGCCAAGCAAATCCACGCCCAACTCCTCTCTTCCGGCCGCCACCACCAACTCTCCCCATTCCTATCCGCCCGCCTCGTCTCCGTCTATAGCCGCTTTGGTCTCCTCGCTGAGGCCCTCTCCGTATTCGACGCTTCCTCCGATCACCGCCGCTCTTCCCTCCTCTGGAACTCCATCCTTCGCGCCACACTCGCCGACGGCCGTCCCCGAGACGCCCTCTCCCTCTACCTTCGGATGAGAGCCCTCGGCGCACTTCCCGACGGCTTCACCTTCCCCCTCGCGATAAGGGCCTGCTCGGCTGTCCGCAACCCCAGGCTTTGCTTCTCCATTCACAGCCACGCTGCTTGCATGGGATTTCAGTCTCACCTCCATGTAGCAAACGAGCTGATCTTAATGTATGGCAACCTGGGCCAGATGGACGCCGTCAGAAAGGTGTTCGACGCAATGCCATCGAGAAATGCCTTTTCTTGGAATAATTTGATCTCTGGGTACTCGCTCAATTGCGACTGCGAAGCTGCTCGTGATGCTTTCCGGCAGATGGAATCCACAGGGCTCGAGCCGAACCCAGTGACATGGACGGCGTTGTTGTCGGCGCATGCTCGGTGCCAGCAGCATGGTGAGGTCTTGGCCATGTTCGATGAGATGAGGGCTCGGGGTGTTAAATCCACTGCAGAAGCAGTTGCGGTGGCTTTATCTGTCTGTCCTTATGTCTGTAGTGCGGCGTTGCAGAAAGGAAAGGCGATCCACGGCTTCGCCATTTCATGCGGCTTCGGTGGTTACCCATTTGTCACCAACTCCCTCGTTTGCATGTACGGGAAACTTGGCAGTAGAGAGGAAGCTACAAGGTTGTTTCATGAGATGGAGACGCGGAATCTGGTGAGCTGGAATGCATTGATCTCAAGCTATGCAGCTGGTGGTTTCTGCAATGAGGCTCATGAGATCTTGGTCGAAATGGAGAACACAGGAGACGTCACACCAGATGTGATCAGTTGGAGTGCTGTGATAGGTGGTTTTGCATCGACTGGAATGTTGGAGCAGTCTGTGGACCTCTTCAGGCAGATGCAGAGAGCCGGAGTGAAGCCCAACTCGATCACGGTCGCCACCGTGCTATCAGCCTGTGCAGAGGTATCAGCATTGCGTTTAGGTAGGGAGATCCACGCTCATATTATCAGAGGCTTCTTGCATGGTAGTCTCCTGGTGGGAAATGGGCTTCTCAACATGTATACAAAGTGTGGTAGCCTGAAGGATGGGTGCGCAGTGTTCGACAAAATAGTGGATAAGGATTTAATCTCGTGGAACTCGATGATCGCTGGTTATGGGATGCATGGATTATGTGATGAAGCTCTAGGAACTTTTGATGCCATGACCGGAGCTGGTTGCAACCCTGACGGCATTACTTTCATAGCGATTCTGTCCGCATGCAGTCATGCCGGGCGCGTTTCAGAGGGCCGCAGTCTCTTCGATCGGATGGTGATCGAGTATGGAATTACACGGTGCATGGAGCACTACTCTTGCTTGGTGGACCTTCTTGGACGAGCCGGGTTGCTAAGAGAAGCGATTGAGCTTATGGAAAGCATGCCGACGAAGCCCAATGCTTGTGTCTGGGGAGCCTTGCTGAACTCTTGCAGAGTATGTGGTGGCACGGTGGTGGCTGAAGACGCAGTGGCTCAGGTGTTGGGCCTTGAAGGCCAGGCCACCGGGAACTACATGTTGCTCTCTAATCTCTATGCGGCTTGCGGCAGGTGGGAGGACTCGGCGAGGGTGAGAGTGATGACAAAAACAAAAGGTCTGAAGAAAACTCCGGGGCAGAGTTGGATAGAGAAGAAGAACAAATTCTATGCATTCTCGGCGGCAGGCACGTTGCCTCCCGGCGCGGAGGACGTATATGTAGTTCTTGAGGATTTGTATCAACAAATGGCGAGCGACAAGTCTGCGGCAGACGATCAATTGGGATGCCATCAATAGTGTCCCTCCGACGACTTGACTTTAAGCCAAAAAGAAGTAAAAGGTCGCATTACATGCCAGTTTTTGACTTGTCACAACAACCTATCGATATAAATGATATCCTACTTGTTATATTCTGATTCCCTGAAACAAAAACCTGCACGTCGGTGTATTGCATGATCAACTCACCTGAACCGTGCGTGAGAGTGGACAATCCCATCATAAGCGGTGTAAGAAGACAGAGAGCAGTGGCATGCCTTGTTTGGCCACAAATATTACCACCTGATACAGGTTGTATAGAAATTGCCTTGCAGGTAGTTTGACCTTCTTGGGCCAAGTAACACTCCAGTAGTGTTCCATGATATGAATGAAATCTATTACAAAGGAAGTATAGCTCAGTTCAAACTTCTGGATCGATGAACTTCACCTGTAACCCACTTCATTTACTTTAGGGTCTAATCTTTTTTTGTTGATTAATGTATGTCTTATAATTTGGTTTAATCAGGCCATGCAGAATCCATGGAGTTTGATTCCTCCGGCCAAAAGCTGGGAGGAAATGGGAGGTGGAAGAAGTCTTAGTCTTTGTTTGCAGGCAAGGGTGATTGATATATGAAGAGGATGCTTGAATCCGTTGGGAGGGAGGCAAAGCCTGAGAGACAGGAGAGTGTGTTGAGAAGTGAGAAACAACGGGTGGCGGATGGACGAGTCTTGTTGGGAGAGGAGAGTATATATTTGAAAAAAAAAATAGAAGATAAGAAGAATTATTAAAGAAGTTTAATTTTATTGAAGTAGTTTAAATACCAAATCTTATTTGCTATCAGTATACCAGTAGGTAGATATTTCTTTAAAAGGTTTTGAATAATGTCCGTTCATACTTTTTCTATATGTTATATAATGTTTTGATCATTATAAACAAATACTATAAAATCTACATGAAATTACTATAATTGATACAAATGAGCTTATAATCTCAATCAAATCAACTTCTAGTTTAAAAATTTTAGTACTATAATAATCTATGAACAAAGATAACTAAAACGATACAATATGATATCACTTACCATCTTTTTAATAATATTATAATATTTATAACACTTCAATAAAATATTATGATATTATTAAAATATATTATAAATGAGTTAAATAGAATAAAAACACACTAGAAATCATTTGATATATCATCCTAAGATTCAAATAAGTATTTATAATAGTTTAGAAATAATATCACTCAAATTAAGATAAAAAAAAATTGGTCTATAAAGGACCCGAATAGGCTTCAAACATTAAATAAGCCAATAATAAGATTAAAAACGAGGATCATAATGATCTATAAGCAATGAGAAACACAATATAATGTTACTTATTTTTCGTTATAATATTTTTAACACCTCAATAAAATATATTATAATATTATTAAAAAATACTATATATGAGCCAAATAAAAGTTCAAAACTTATGAAAAGAATAATACTATTGGGATTGATGAGGGGTATTTTAGGCATTATTCGAATTAAGGGACATAATTTGGGAAAAAAACATAAACAGGAGTGTCTTTTGAGGAAAAAAAAAAGGCTTTTTTAGAGAAATCATCTAATTTATTTTTGAAAATATTTTTTAGATATATTATATAATTTTTTTAATAACAGATTGTTAGGATCGAGAGCATTAAGAGGGGGGGGTGAATTAGTGCAGCGGAAATTTTACAGCGATTAAAACCGAAAGCTGCGTTCGTTCGATAGAAACTATTATGATGCAAAAGCTGATTCACAGTTTGTATCTAAGTGCAGTTTGCGTCTAAGCGCAGATTGCGTCTAAGCGCAGTTCAGTTTGCGTCTAAACACAGTTTGCGTCTAAACGCAGTTTGCGTCTAAACGCAGTTTGCGTCTAAGCGCAGTTTACGTCTAAACGTAGTTTGCGTCTAAACGCAGTTTGCGTCTAAACGCAGATGACAGTTTGCAGTTCTAAATGAAATCAAGACGTAAACTTAAACTGCACAGAACCTTGTTCGTAAAAAAGCGCAGAAGACAGTTTGCAGTTGTAAGTGAAATCAAGACGTAAACGTAAACTGCACAGAACTCATTCATAAAAGCGCAGAGAGACAGTTTGCAGTTTGTAGATGGAATCAAGACGTAAACGTAAACTGCACAGAATTCGTTCGTAAAAGCGCAGAGAGCAGTTTGCAGTTTGTAAATGGAATTAAGACGTGAACGTAAACTACACAGAACTCGTTCGTAAAAGCGCAGAGGGCAGTAGCTATGTAGGAGGTTTGCAGTAATGATAAAGTGCTCAAAATAAACGCAAACCAGAGATTTAGAGTGGTTCGGTCAGTCTTGACCTACTCCACTTTTGGCTTCCTCCACCGATGAGGTTACCGACGTCAACTAGAGGCCTTCCTTCAATAGGCGAAGGCCAACTACCCTCTTACAAATTCACTCCTTTTGACGGGCTTAGGAGACAACCCTTACAGATGTTTTCTCTCCTCTCTTCACAACTCAAACTTGAAGAACAGAAGGAGGAGGAAAACTAGCAGTTTTGAGCTTTAAGAACCACTGAAAAGATCAAGATTTCGAGTAAGTTCATGCTATCTCAGTGCTGAATGGGTGGGGTATTTATAGGCCCCAACCCAATTCAAATTTGGAGCTCAAAACGATCAAATCCCGGAATTCCGGGATT